GAGCGGTCGTATGAACCAGTGTGTCCGCCCACGCACTGTTAAGCCGGTGACATTTTGTCCTCTTTTGGTCCACATCTAGGTGAACATCATAGCGTGTTCCCACATCCTCCCGCCTGATTGACCGAACTCCCACATTTTTGCAATTCTGACAGCGCATGTTTTGCAGCGACCAGCGTCCCGCTTTGGCATGTACTGGATATACACCACGGCCTTCGAAATATCTGACTTTAGAAGTCAGTTTGGCAAACACGTGTTTTCGGTAACTCTTCATGAGGCCAAAACTGTTACCTAGAAATGGACCAAAGGGTAAGTCCACGGGGTCCATATGCGACTCAGGGGCCAGTAACGCTCATCGTTTCCACGCCACCCGCACGACGAGGTCGCAATGTTGTGGTCATTGGGGCAAAGGTGTAGGGTGACAAAGGTCTTGAGTGATGTTTGTAAGTCCGGTATGTTGAGTCCACATCATTGCCATCAGAAGGTTGGGGCGGCGTGCATTGATCATCTGAGGTCAGCATTGGCTAGGGAAGATAGAGCACCTGTGTCAACGTCTTCTGACAGCATAACACTGGATTCGCTAGCTGTATACACACTGTCGCGGCTGTAGTTAACTCCCGTGGGCGTAGACCTGTGGGGAAGCCCGCTGGTGTCCGGTAGACAACCTGAACGGCTTCTTTGGCATCGACTTGATAATTCGTATCGACAAGATCTGCGAGAATAGGACTCGAAATCGATTTGTTCTCCCCCCTGCCTAACCAGGCCGGTATGTGTTCACGTACTCTCCTTTCCAAACGCCTCGTTGTACGGCCAATGTATCCCGCTCTACGGGAGCAAGTGGATGAGTAAATACACATCGATGTGGCCTGCAACGGTAGTCGGTCTTTACCTCCCAAGCGTAATAAGAGAGAGCTCGTGAAACATACGCGTAAATTCGCTGCGGGGAAGCACAAGTGAATTTGCCAAGTTCCTTCTCTGTTGGACAATTTTAAGCAAATTAGATTCACAAATTCGGTCTTTTGATTTCCGCTGGATTAAGGTACTGATTAAATTAACACCGCCCAACACGGCGAAGTGAATAATTTGACCTAGGAAATGGTTACTCGAATGATGGAGCAGTTTTAATTATCCCTCTACAGCCATGTAAAATTCCGCTCAGCGGAAAGTCAGCTATGTATTTAAATGAAAAACAAACGATGGAGTCAGTTGTCTGCGGCGGACCTGTTCGATACTAGCAGTGTTTGATTATTTTAGTCCAACGAACCAGCTGTACGACGACGACTAATAAGCCAGAAATGGCCACCCAGGCCTCCCCTCTATCTTTGTCAGTGACATATCGATTTAGAGGTTACGTGTAAAATCCGCAAAATCCAATTGTACCAAACTCAAGCCATCCGACCGGACAATGAACCACAACCGACGCACATTGAGGCATGCTTCGGCCAATCACAGGTCTGTTTTCAGACACGGTCACCACGTAAGCTGTTTTTCATATTGACCCAAGTGTGAGAAAATCGACGCCTCGGTGGGATTCGAATCCACGCAGTAAGGGGCAGGCTTTATTACAGCCAACGCTCTAACATCTATGAAGTACGTGAGCCTGGTAGTCATCTGGCGGATTCTAGGTGAATTACTTAGGAAATCCTACCAGGGCAGTCAACGTACTGTGTCAGATTTGGTGGATTCCAGACGTTGCAGTAGGTTGGGCGGGTATCTTGACCCAAATGTGATTAAACTCGCGTCGTCCGGCGGGGCCTCGTAGCTCAAGTGGTTAGAGCGTTGGCTGTACTAAAGCCCTCCCCTTAATGCATGGGTAAGAATCCCACCAAGGCGCCGAGTTTTGCTCGGTTGGGTCAATATGAATTATTCAAAATCCGCCAAAACGACCATGCATAGTCTGTTTTTGTACATGGCCTTTGTGTCTGATGACGAGCTGAGGAACCAGTCTGGAAAATTTTGCAATAAGGATTATTTCGTTTCCATAGGGTCTCACGTGTTTCTAGTTACATGTGCTATGACCTCTTTGTGAACGCTTGTAATTGATCATTTTGTTGTGCAACCGTCACATATGCCGTCAACTATCATCCTATGACTCTTTTATATTATTTTAAAGTCAGGTTACAACATTACCTATATAAATACATGGCTTACAGGTGCGCTTGAATACGCCTACTGAATAAGTTAACGAATAACTATTTTTATGCATGTTTTCATGAACTATAATTTAATTTTCAAGGGCATCAAAAATCAACGAGAAAATTGCATGCTCCTTAAGTGGTCATTTTTACAGAGTGCATTTTTCGCATGCAGTCCGAAAATAAGCTCATTCGAATGCTGACACCCTGAGGTAGCTAGATCATAATAGAATTATTCTGCATGATGACTGATTTTTCAACCCTACTTAATTAATCTGTTCGAAAAAAGAACGCACTTCGAAATTTTGGTTGACATTTCATGAGTTAGCCCATTTACTCTAAAGTACACAGTATATAAGAGTAACCCTCGCATAGTTACAGGTATAGTGGATAGTTTGGCACTGTGACTTAATATTTGGACAGAGATTCATTTCTTTCCCGACAGCCTTGTGTTTGGAATTTATGCACTGTTTGCTAAATGTTATAATAAAAACATTGAATTTTATTGTTTTTTTGTTGTGTTTACATCAAAATTAGCATATGAAAATCACTAAATGACTTTATGTTGCAAATAAATGTATTCAGTCAGGAAAATAAAAAAAAAAAATAAGTGAATGCTTCGATGAGCTCTGCGAGAAAGAAAGAAATCCTCGAGTACTTAACCACAAATAGTCGGAGGTCATCTGCATTAGAAACTGGCATAGGGAATACCGGGAAACTCACAGAGAAATCAAACCACTCACAACAGAACCATCGGTGAAACACATATCTGGGCCTTTAGCTTGCATCCTTGCTATAAAAGATGATACAAACCGCGGTCACATGCATTCATACTACTCGGTGTACTAGCCGCGTATAGAATTAGCATTGCGCGTTTAGTCCGAAAATTTGATTGTCTACAACTCAGATATCCATCGACAGTTCAGGGCTGGCCATACAAAGTTCCGTCCTTTAAACATGACTTCAAGTCCTATACTTGCTAATTTCCGAAATTATTGGCTTGATATATATATATATATATATATATATGTAGAGTAGAAGTGGTAGGCATTCCGAGACGATATAATGAAAAAGGAAGAGGTTCTTCGGAAAAAATCGAGTTTCACTCGTGAATTTTCGAATTGGTAACACCAACCCGTCGTCAGACGAAATGAAGAGAAAAGAGAGAGTGAGACAGTCACGCTAGACTAATAGACGAGACAGGACAAACATTGGCGGACGAACCATTAGCGTGTGAGGAGGGATGCGGGTAGGGAGTCATGCTGGGTTCTGAGCCGGGAGGCGAACCCATAGGAGCACCTTTCAGTTGCCGATAACATTGTTTGGCGAAAGAAAAGTTGGTTTCTAGACAAACATCAAGTAGTTCGAGTAGCGCGTCGGCAGGCACATCAGTGGTGTAGGTCTGAAGGAGTTCTTCGGTG